CTCACTCACTCACTCACTCACTCACACACACACACACACAGATGCATCTTTGCAAAATAAATAAATAATGTAACGCCGTAGAGCAGGCTCGGGCGAGACACGTCTGCAAGAAAAGGAAAAATAATAATAAAAGCTCCCCCCCACCCCATGCGCACGTATATTTATCGACAGACACACACACACACACTTGAATGAATGCATGCATGCATACATGTGTATGTACACACACACACACACAAAAACATTGCAAAGCCTGCCTGCACAAACGCGCTTGGGGGCAGCGCAGTCGCACTCTCCCCCCCCCGCGCCAAGCCGTTTTCCTCTCCCCCCCTCCTCAAGGTACGTGAAGTTCAAGTTCGCCGAAATCCAGCGGGGGTGGGGGGGCATTTAAGGCTGGGCCAATCCTTGCGGGGGAGGGGTCACCCCCTGTCATCTCTCCCCCCCCTTGCTTTTCCTGATCTGGTGCCAAGAGTGAGAGTCTCCCTCAAACTTGAAGGGGGCGCGGGGGGGGGAAGAGGAGAGGTGCTGAAGCCGTGCCAGCAGGAACTCCCCCCCCCCCCAATTCAGAAAGGCGAAATGTCTGTGCATGAAAGGAAATGCAACAAGCGCCCGGTAGGGGAGGATTGCAGCTGCAATTTTGGCATGCCTGAAAAAAAAAACACAAGCGGGAGAAGGGGGGGGGGAGAGAAACATCCGCCAGCCTCCCTGCACCAGCCTCTCATGTCAAAGCCGATTACCCTCCCCGGGGCGGAAATACGGGAGGGCATGATGACCCTCCGTGCAAAGTGTCATCGGCACCCCCGGCCTGCTCGGGGTTTTACCTTGAACCCCGGTGTTCCTCCTGCAGCTGCTGCTTCCTTCCCGGGAGGGGGGGATCCTCCTCCTCCTCCTCCTCCTCTTTCCGCGCTCCTTGCCTTGCCCAGCCTGTGGAGGAGGCCTCGCCCGCCGTCTCCACTGCAGCAAGAATCGGATCCGACCGGCTCGGATCGGACGTACTCGGCCCGCAGGGCCACTGGAGAACGAGAGAGGGAGCTCGGGAGTACCCGCTGCGAGACAGGCAGACAGGCCAGCCAAAGCCGGCCGGCCCGGTCCTAGCGCTAGCAAGGCTCTCTCTGGTGTTACCCTGCTGCCAAAGAACGCGCCGAGGCCCTGAGCAAAAGCTCTGCTTCCTACGAGGCGGGAGCCTCTGTCATTGCTCCGAGAGTCGCCACCAGTTGCTGCCCAGATCTTAAGGGCTGCTGGCCTGTGTTCGGATAAAGGAGTTCTTACTGACTGATGGGCAAAGGAGGACTGTCATCCCAGCACAGGTGCCAAAAGAATTGCTCATAAATAAAACCTTGAGAGAGAGAGAGAGAGAGAGGCTTCCTTTCATTCAGATCTATTGCTACACGGCTTAAGTCTGTTGTAAAGCTGCCAAACGCACACTTCGAAATTAGGGGAAATATCACCTTTTGGTTACTAATTGATTACCATTTGTTTCCGAGAAACACCCCAGTGGATACCAGTCCTTTCAGAGTTCTTTGGAAAAGCCAACTGAGATCTTGCTCTTCATTTTGTTTGCTTTGCATTGCATTGCATCAAATATGACCTTTTTTTGCTGCCAGAGACCTCCTGTGGAGTTCCTCAAGTTACAATTTGTGTGGCATAATGCTTAAATAATTTTAATGGATTTAACAGATTGAGTTGGAAGGGACCTTGTAGGTCATCTAGTTCAACCCCCACCCCGCCCAAGCAAGAAACCCTACACCAGTGGTGGTGAACCTTTTGGGGCTCGTGTGCCAAAAGCATGGGGAGCGTAGGGGGGTCGTGTGCAGGCGTGCCACATCCATAATGCTATGTGCATGACCCCAGCGCTCATGCATGCACGACCAGCGCTCCCCCCCCCCATTTTTGATGTGCTTTGTTCGCCCTGCCCAGGCTCCAGAGGCTTTATAGGAGCCTGGGGAGGGTGAAAACAGCCTCCCCCCCGCCCAGAGGATTCAGGAGCTTCCCTGAAGCTTCCGGAGTGTGAAAAACCAGCCCTATGGGCAAACTGGAAGTTCGGGAACGGACTTCTGGTTTGCTCATAGGGCTGGTTTTAGCCCTCCAGAGCCTTCAGAGGCTTCCCTGATGGCTCCGGAGGGCAACAAATGACTCTATGAGCAACCTGGAAGTGTCTTCCGGTTTGCTCATAGGGTCGTTTTTTTGCCCTCCGGAGTCATCAGGGAAGCCTCCTGAAGGCTCCTGAACGCTCCAGAGGGCTAAAACCAGCCCTACAAGCAAACTGGAAGTACATTCCTCAGCTTCCGGTTTGCCTGCAAGGCCAGTTTTTTGTGCTCCGGAGGCTTCAGGGAAGCTCCTGAAGCCTCCAGAGGGCAAAAAATGGTCTCAAAAGAAGGGGCGCTGACCAGCTGACAGAGCAAGGCGTTGTGTGCCCAGAGAAATGATTCCGTGTGCCATAGGTTCGCCATCAGGGCCCTACACCATTTCTGATAGATGGCAGTCCAGTCTTTTCTTGAAAGCTTCCAGTGATGAAGTTTCCACAACTTCTGAAGGAAAGCTGTTCCTTTGGTTGATTGCTCTCACTGTCAGAAAATTTCTCCTTATTTCTAGGTTGAATCTCTCCCTTGATCAGTTTCCATCCATTATTCCTTGTCTAGTCTGGGGGGTGGTGTGGTTGGAAAATAACTTAACCTCCTCTTCTCTGTGGCAGCACCTCAAATATTGGAACACTGCTATCATATCTCTGCTGGTCCTTCTCTTCACTAGACTAACCATGCCCAGTTCCTATAACCGTTCTTCATATGTTTTAGCCTCCAGTTCCTAAATCTTGGTTGCTCTCCTCTGCACTCTTTCCAGAGTCTCAACGTCTTTTTTATAATATGGTGACCAAAACTAGATGCAATACTTTAGGTGTGATCTTACTAAGGCTTTATAGAGTTGTATTAGTATCTCACTTGATCTTGATTGAATCCCTCTGTTAATGCAATAAAGGATTGGGCAGATTTAGGGTCGATTGCACCCTCACTGGGTAACCTTTGCCCAGGCATTCTCAGTCCAATCTACCTCACAGAACTGTTGTGGAAAAAAGCAATGTATTCACTATTTTTGCTGCTAGGGGAAAAAAAGCAGGATATTACACAAATAATTGAGAGTGCCTCTTCCACACTCCTGCACAGCATGAACACAATTTGTTGCCACAAACCAGGGATTTAGACCTGAAGAGGAGGTATTTTACAATGCTTCCCATTTGGGCAATCCAGTATTGTGGTTAGTTGGTTTGCAGTCTCTACAATGCAACCCTAGCTATCATGAGTTTGAGGTATACTCTCTGGGTTGATAAGTTCTTGAATCCAGTCAATGGTATTTATTGGATGTTCTTTGCAGCAAATCATCATAGCTTGGCATGACATGTAAACATAGCATCTGGATGTCTCCTCTTTCATCATGCTCACCCTAAATGTGAGGTGATCACATCATTTAAGCATTCACAATTCCAAGGGATTTAGAAGGTGGAAGAGGTGAAGAGAACTTTCCATGGATGGCTTACTAAGAGGCAATTTCCTATTCTTGCTCATCACAAAAGTGTCACCCCCTTCAGTTACTCGTGATAAAATCTCTGCACAAAAGCTAATGAATTGAACTCACTTAGATTGTTAGACCTGAGAGTCTGTGCTTCATTCATTTATTGATATTTTTAATTATATCAGTTTATATGACTATCCATCTTATATATGCAACTGGACAGCTAACAAGAATTCCAATACAATATAAACTTGTCAGACGTGAAGAATCAGATCCACACATGAAGAGTTTAAACTAGCATTTTGTTTTTTCTATTTTCTATTTCACTGGACTTTTCTCTAACTGGCAGTTTGTTTCTGGTAAAGACTATATAAGGCTCAATATCATTCAAAGAGAGGAGGTTGAACCATGCCCGCTTGTGCCTACATAATGATTCCAGATTAATCCCCTGCTTGACCTCTCCTTCTGACTGGGACAATCTCCCTTCAG